TGAAATTCATAGGAGAATGTCAACTGTGTATGGTGCCACATGTTTCAGCCAAAAAATATCTACAAGTGGGCTAAATTGTTTAAAGAAGGACGGAGCAGTGTTGAGGATGAAGACAGGCCTGGGAGGCCTACAGAAGTGAGGTCTCCTGAGGTGATCGAATCAGTCAATGACCTCATTTAGTCTGACAGAAGAACTACTGTGAACTCCTGAGGTAGGTCAAGAAAGACATAAAGAACAAACGCAGGGGTCATCAGTCAGAAGGAGTCATCTTGCATCATGACAACGCAAGGCCTCACACAGCAGCCCAAACGGTGCAGACTATCAACGAGCTGGGCTGGGAACTGCTCCCTCATCCCCCTTACAGCCCAGACCTTGCCCCTTCAGACTTTCACCTTTTTGGTTCCTTGAAAGCGTTCACAAGAGGCACGAAGTTTAAAAGTGACGATGAAGTCAAAAGTGTTGTGAGCGACTGGCTGAGACATCAGTCCAAAGATTTTTACACTGAGGGAATACGGAAGCTTGTGCACATATGGGAAAAGTGTGTGACAGTGCTGCGAGACTACGTTGAAAAATTAAAAAAAAAGTAAGCTTCTATCTGTATTAGAAGTCCTTATACCGAAAAATTCACCTTATTTATTGAATGACCCTCGTAGATTTATTCAATTTATTATTCAATATATATCCTTTTGTTCCAATATCATTCACCATCTTTGAGGATGCTTCATGATTCCATCCTCCCAAAACTTGGCAGCTTTCTGAGCGCTGAACCTGTCTGCATGGTATTTTCGGATTCCATAGAATATGTCCAGCCTCCTCCCTAAGGAGAGGTACTGCCTGAGGCGGGGGGGGGGGGCTAGGGCTTAATATTATTTGAATCTTCCCAAACCAAAAGGCCGCCTGTTTTAAATTCAGTTTAAAATATTTCCAAAACTTTGTGAACTAAAGAAATCAATTTTATTTCTTCAAAATGTTAAGGAATCATTTGAAAGGTTTTGTGACGTACGTGAAGTTACAAGTACCGCAGTGTTTGTGATTTGAATTTTCAAACGGACTTGAAATTTCGCCCCATATCGGAGTTTCTGCCCAAATCGATCTTTTGGTCGGAATTGGATTCCATCCTCCCAAAACTTTGCAGCTTTTTAGGCGCTGAACTGGTCTGCATGATATTTTAGAGAATATGCAATAATGGCGGCAAATATTCAGCATACGCGTAAGAAATTCAGAAAGAATTTGAACGGGGAAATAAATATTCTTCGTAACGGGGATTAACTGAAAACGTAGCCTTCCCAGATTTTGCCCTGATTTTACTTAATAACTGCCTTGTTGATGATGCTCGTTCCTATATTCCACACGATTTGATCACTTTTCATCTTTCTTCGCGTTTTCTTTCTTTCATTCTTTCTTTCTTTCTTTCATTCATTCATTCATTCTTTCTTTCTTCCTTTCTTTCTTTCTTTCTTTCTTTCATTCATTCATTCATTCTTTCTTTCTTTCTTTCTTTCTTTCATTCATTCTCTCTCTCTTTCTTTCTTTCATTCATTCATTCTTTCTTTCTTTCTTTCTTTCTTTCATTCTTTCTTTCTTTCTTTCTTTCATTCATTCATTCTTTCTTTCTTCCTTTCTTTCTTTCATTCATTCATTCTTTCTTTCTTCCTTTCTTTCATTCATTCATTCACTCTTTCTTTCTTTCTTCCTTTCTTTCTTTCATTCATTATTTCTTTCTTTCTTTCTTTCATTCTTTCTTTCTTTCTTTCATTCTTTCTTTCTTTATTTCTTTCTTTCTTATAGTCGTTCCCCGCCTTTCTGTTTTCCTCTCATAATTGTTCACAATTCGACACTTGACTATATAGCGTCTCTAATTTCCTGAAAGCATTATCACTATGACAACAGTGGCTGTGAGCATACTTACTTGTAAAGTGCTCTCTGCAAAATAAAAGCTTTTGGTGGGTGTTAAGAAATCGCCCGCTCAGCACAGATACACAATACGGGTGGCCTGCTTTTGCTAACCGTATTACTTCTACAATTAACACTTTTAGACTTCATCTTTAGCAGGCCTCTTAGTTCCCTTCCCGACCCCTTGAATTCCCACCCGCTCGTTTTATTTCGCATATATATATATATATATATATATATATATATATATATATATATATATATGTGTGTGTGTGTGTGTGTGTGTGTGTGTGTGTGTGTGTGTGTGTGTGTGTGTGTGTGTGTTGTTTTTTTTCTTTATTCATTCATGTATTTATTCCTTCCGTTTTAGTTCAGCTCTACAAACACGCAATAAAGTCGAATAGCGATAAAAATTCATGTAGCTTGAGGTCAAGACGTTAAACGTAGAGGTTTTTTCAGCCATACAGCTACGAAGATGTTTAGTATTAAGATGGGTGATGACTCGGCAATACCGCATATTGTCAGAACCCTTATGAGAGACTACCAAAAGTTTAGTATAGTTTTGTACCAAATGCACTAGATGAATTCGTCTAGCGTCCTGTTCACACTCTCCTTGGTCTTTTGAACAGTAGAGGTTTATTCTTTGTTTCCTGTTTCCGATTGGTTTCCGGTTCCTTCCAATGTCTTCACAATTCTCTTTCACTCCTCTTGCATCTCAGTTGCATTATTGCTTGGGTGAAATGATTTTTAAAACAATGCCGTGTATCGCTCTGGTAGGAATATTTTAATACGCGTACTAATACGCATAAACGTTCCGCCGGGAATTTTTTTTTATAAATCTAATAAAAGGAACAAAATAATCGTGCCGTAGGGAAAATTGAAGGAAATAATTTCATCAAGCTGGTATTTGTATTTGGTACACAAGCTTAAGTCCATCCTAGATATGCCAATTAACTACATCCGGTAGCAAGGCATCTGATCGGAACGTTTTGAGGAACGTAGAACCACTTCTTAATTGCTGGTATTCCTAGATCCATCCTGACCTGAAGTGGTAGCCCCTGTTAGGATCCCAGCTATGGGCAAATAGGTAACCCCCAAACTGGAGTCAAAACACAGAAAGTATAAAAATCTTTATAGTAAAAATACCTGCAATGCATTTTTGCAAAAAAATAAAAAATAAAAAAAGATTTTTAGCAATACATTTCTGTAATGAAAAAAAATATTACTAACAATACATTTTCGTAAAAGAAATGGCTAAGAAAAGGAAAATTGAATTTCGGTATTAAATGACCCATAAGGAGTTGATATGCCTTTAAACAAACAAGTTTAATGAACGTGGAACAAAATAATCGGGCCACAGGAGGGGGGATTATTTAAAAACTCCTAAACATGCCCCGTTCTAAATAAACACCGTGGCTGGTGGGAGGGGTATAATTTAAAGGAAATAATTTAATTGTCCCCTCAAATGTATTTAGTACACAAAAGCATTAACTATAGAAAAGCAAAAAGCACAAATCTCTCTAAAATATAAAAAGTGCACAACAAATCTGCTCCATGGTTACCTTTTGTAGAGTATCAATCAAAGACCCGCCCAATGCTAGTGGTTTTCAGGAATTACTTTAATATAGTATTAGGAAAAAATCGTCGCGTTTTCAGTAGGTGACATTGAGTATTACATGACCAGACGATGAATTCGGGAAAGTACTGATCCCAATTTATCTTATTAAAATTAGTAATATACGAAAAGAATTAGCCAATAAGAAAAGTTTCATAAGAACAACGCCAAACTTCACGTCTCTTTAAAGACTCGATAGAAATTGGTAAAGCCTGGCTGGGATATCTTACTACACCTGTCGTATTCCCCTGGTCTTGTAACTTCGTGTTTCTATGTATTTAGATCCCTACAACATTCTCTTGATGGGAAGAACAAATTATCTGGGAGCTTGTAAAAACCTGTTGATCACCCGTAAAGTTTTGGAAGGATAAGTACTGTGGAGATAAGATTATGAAAAATGAATTGTTTACAACAATGTTGTGTGAAAAAAGTTCCTGGAGAAAACAAAATGTCACTCTGAATAAAAATGAAGTGAAACTGTGTATCTGGTGGGAATTTCCTGAAAGCATTATCACTATGACAACAGTGGCTGTGCGCATGCTTACTTGTAAAGTGCTCTCCTTAGGATCTCCTTCCGCAAAAATCAGACGCTAAATGCAGACAAGTAATGTTACCAAATTGGACTGATTAAATGAAGGAATCGATTAAAAACGTCAGGGATTAACCAATAGAAAAGATGTCGTATTATGACTGGACAAACCCATACATAACGTCTCTTTGCAGACCAAACAGAAATTGGTAAAGATTGACTTGGATGTCATACTACACCCGCCGTACTAACCTAACCTTTCACGCTCGGATTACCAATTATTTCGATCTTTACAAAATCCTCTTAAGTCCAGAATAGAAGGATAGCTTAAATAAAACGGGTAGGTTGAAAAGTTCATTCAAAATTAATTTATTTTCGGAATAAAAAAGGAAATAGAAGCGATTGCAATAAAAGGACAAGCCGGGAAAAAAAAAAGCGGGAAAGAATATAAATTTGGGTTTAGAATAAAAATCAAAATTGAAATAATCAACCAGGCCCGCATATTTGGGCACGAGAGTAATATAACTATATTCTCAAATACAAAAACCATTTGTAGAATTAAAGTTACACATTTTCACTTCCTTGCAGATATTCTCGGGTGTCACATAAACGCTCCCTTTTGTCAATTTTTAGATTTTTTTTTCTCTATAGTCTCACCAAGACCTGTTAGCCCTCACCCTGCTTATTAAGTATAGAGGAAGAGAAAGAGACGATTAAAAACCAGAGAGACAAGGAAAATGAACATTTGGGAAATATTCGGTAGTCTATTAGGACTGAGGTTCATCCACAGACCTCAAGTGGAACTTGTATATATACGATCCATCGCTAAAGACACTGGGAAAAAAGGGTCGGCTCCTTATGTACATACTTTCCTCAGAAAGTATGTACATGACTCCACCTGCCATGCTCTATCTTTACAAGAGAAGGACCAAACCATAAATGCTTATTAATGCCATACCTGGGATGGGGCTGTCCAATTCCCCCTCCTCTCTCTTTCTCTCTCTCGCTCTCTCTCTCTCTTTCTTTCTCTCGCTCACTCTTTCTCTCTCTCGCTCTCGCTCTCTCTCTTTCTCTCTCTCGCTCACACTCTCTCTCTTTCTCTCTCTTTCTCTTTCTCTCTCTCTCTCGCTCTCTCTCTTTCTCTTTCTCTCTCTCTCTCTCTCTCTCACCTCGACAAACTTCAAAAGCGTTTACGTGACATTCTAGGTGATTAATTATCTTCCACCTTACAACCTCTTTTCCCAAAGACGAAAAGTCAATATCCTATAACGTCTTTATCGCTATTTTCATATAAAATTTTCTGATGAGCTATATTCTTTAGTTTCACCAGTTCGAACCTTTATAGCTGAGTCCCACCACGTCATGTACATATTCCATTAATAAGGAGGAAGTTCTATTCGAAGAACCTTTGCTTTTTGCAATAGTAGTTGCCCCCTAAAATACTTTAATAGATAGCAATTTTTTTTGTTTCAAAAATATATACATATGATGTGCTATGCGATCAAAATGAAAATAAATAATATGCAAAATAGAAAAGACACAGAGAGGCAACCCATCGCCATAAGGTTACCTACCTGTGCCTTTTCTTTTAATACTTTCAGGGCAATTGTTCTGATGAACTCTTCGCTATGGTACCTAGACTTTAAACGCAGTACTATACTGGCGTCGAGATCTCATCAGATTATAGCTGAACTGGCCAGATGTAACCGTAAATTCTACGCTAACAGCTTCTTTTCTCGCTTGTGGAACTCCCTTCCAGCTCCATGTTTTCCGGCTAACTTCAATCTGCAAAAATTTACATGTAATGTCAATCGCTATCTACTGATTACTTTTTTCTCTTCCCGCTGTGGTCTTTAATAACAATATCTAGCCGGTTGGCCTTGATTGTTCTGTCAGTGTGTATTGTGTAATCCCATAGAATTGATTATTATTATTATTATTATTATTATTTTCTTTGATTTCTGGCGTTTACACATTTCTTTCCGGGTCCCGCCCAGAGACCTAAAATTAGAAATGGCATCATGACACTTTCCACTGACAAAAAAAAAAAAAAATTACATAGATAAAGCCCTTCGTAAAGTGTGGGCTGTACTTGCCACAACAATTTTTTGTATCTCTTTGAGGCATGGACTTCCAGGAATGCCTTCAATTAGTCTATTATTATTATTATCATTAATGGGTAATCAGCGACCCCAGTGCAAATTCCGGCCTACTCTGTTGCGTTCACTTTCACACGAATACCCTATAGTTTAAATAGTAGGGTAGACTGGATGCTGTAGTCTTGTATGGTAGTCAGTCTAAGAAAAGAACTATTCTTGATTCAAAACAGCAAAGAAGGCACCAGGAAACTACTCCACTATCTTTCCCAAGAAACCATGGCAATTCACGAAGAATAAAGAAAAAGGAAGCCGTGGAGAGCCATGCTTGCCTGCGCTCTGAAAGTATTTATTATTATCTCCAGTGTATTTTTATTCCGTATTACCTCGGCATGTCTGGCTTCAACTCTTACAAAAAGAAAAGAAAGCAATCAATTCTTCTATAGATTCTGATTAGATTTCTGCATTTGCCATCTTACCAACAGAACGAAGACACGGTAAAATTATTATTAGTCCCTAAATTATGTGAATCTTTATTTGCTTTGCCGACCTTCGAATCTATGCAAATTTTATTGGCTGTCGATTTGACTTAGCCAAATATACATTGATATATTTACAAATCGAAATGATGGCTAAAGTTAAATGTAATATAATCGTCAGCGTCCTAATGATATTTCTCCACACAGATTATTTTAATAGACAGATCCTCGGATTCTATTATTTCCGCATAATAATCAATTTCGATATTTGTTCCACCGAACCAACACAGGCCCGAGGCCAGATTAAGAACTACTTTGTGAACATTAAGATGTCAGATCAGATTACTTGTGTACCGACTTTTCTCGACCTCGAGTGAAACACATCAGATAAGGAAATTGAACAGAGAATAGGTTGCGCCCGAGATAGTTTCCCCCAATACCGCAAGTTACCTCAAAACTTAAAATATCGAATCATGTTCTTAGTCTCGAAATTAAGAATAAGAATAATGAAAGACAATTTCTGATTTTACAAATTATTTCAAGTTGACGATTTTAATTAAAAGTCAAATCGATTACATCGCGTAGTCAATAACAACATTTGTATTTTTATTATAAGTTTTTCCTTTGAATAATTTATATTAAAACTGTTGCTTCCAGTTAAAAATTTTATTTGAATATAAACAAATTTTATTCTTATTCTCTGGGAATGGGCTTCGCTCGAATGAATATTCTAAAATGGGGTTGTTTAATTGTCAATATTCTTGGCATTTTTTAAATATATTTTCGAATTACAAATTAAAACTTCAGTCTTTTTGTCAAGAGGTTGTACATAATGATATAATCAAACGTGTATGCATGTATATAATGAAAAGGAAAACGTCCATGGGCCCACCTTACACCGGACATTAAGTGGGGTGTCACATTCAGAACTAACGCTAGTGTTTTACATGAATAAAGTGCCTTTCTGACATCAACATCCAGTAGGGATCGAAACATATATGAAGAGATAATTACCGCAGTTGGTATTAAATTGATCGTCAGATCGAGAATTTCATGTGGTTACGTTATGCAGGTACCAAATTCATCCAGAAATATCCAAACTGTTGGCTGTATACAATTGCTTTCTCAGATGGATGGTTAAAATGGCGTCGAGCGAGTGAAGCGTGTAGACCTCAGTGAAGACCAACATTCCTAGAACTTCGTGAACTGGCGTCACAAAGAACTGTACCAGATAACAGTAACCACTCCACTTGAGCGCAGACTGCACTGTCAATGAATGTCAGATGCTTCCTTATAAGGAAACGCTTAATATTACCATTGACATTACTATTAGTAAAAATGCTGGAAAAATGGTAGGCTCATGCTATAGCTGTAGGAAGTATTCCACTTTTGCTAACCTATATCTTTACAAAAATCAAATTAGACCAAAAATGGAGTATGGCAAATATATCCACGCTGGAGCTGTTCAATCCTCACGATGTAGCATTGATAGAATTCAAGATTGCTTGAGCAATCTTGTGAGGGATCACTTGTTTTTTACCTTACGAACTTTTTTCCAGGCGCATTTTGAAAGAATATCGCTAATTTATCGTAATTTCTTTCTTTCTTTCTTTCTTTCTTTCTTTTTACATGTTTATCTATCTATCTATCTATCTTCATTTAATTTTTTATTTCATTCATACTTATTTCATTTCTTATATTTCCATACCTTAAGTTCATCTTTTTTCTTTCTTTCTATTTATCTACTTATTTATCTTCAGTAATTTCTTTATTGCATTCATTCTTATTTCATTTTTACACTTTCCATAAATTAAATTATCCTACTCATTCTTTCTTTCTTTCTTTCTTTCTTTCTTTTATTTTTTTATATATTTATTATCTATCTATCTATCTATCTATCTATCTATCTATCTATCTATCTTCATTCAATTTTATTTCATTCATAATTCATTTCTTACATTTCCATACCTTTTTAAATTCATCCACTTCTTTCTTTTCTTTTCTTTTTTTTCTATTCTTTCTTTCTTTCTTTCTTTTTTTCTTTCTTTCTTTCTTTCTTTCTTTCTTTCTTTCTACATGTTTATCTATCTATCTATCTATCTATCTATCTATCTATCTATCTATCTATCTTCATTCAATTTTTATTTCATTCATAATTCATTTCTTACATTTCCATACCTTAAATTCATCCACTTCTTTCTTTCTTTCTTTCTTTCTTTCTTTCTTTCTTTCTTTCTTTCTTTCTTTCTTTCTACATGTTTATCTATCTATCTGTCATTTTCATTTTTAGAGACCTAACTTTCAGTGCATATATGATATACATGTGTAAATACGATCTGTTACTCCTTTATATTTATTTTTTTTGCTTCCTGTTTAGCACAATCCCTTATCGGGTCATTGCCCGAGACAAAGTAGTAAATACATGAATTTCGTTTACACAAATTCTGATGCTAAGTGATACTCAAGATGTATATTGTTTATATTTTCTTTATACTGATAATATTCTCCCGAGTATATGAGCAATTCTAAACAAGGCATTAAAAAAATCTCTTGTAAACAGCGGCTACCAGAGACCTGGTTAATGTTCTTGTCTATACCTTTTTTATCTAATTATCACAGGTATAACTAGTTTTATCCGTCCACGGTAAGACGATAAACTACATCCGGTAGCGAGGGATCTGATCTGAAGGTTTTGAGGAACGTGGAACCACTTCTTAATTGATGTTGTTCCCAGGTCCACCCTGACCCGGGGTGGTAGCACCTGTTGAGGTCCCAGGTATGGGCAAATAGTTAACCCCGAAACTGAGGTAAAAAGCATTATCAAAGGGTAAAAATAGGTTTTAATACCAGAAATACTTTGTAAAAAATTAGTACCAGAAAGAGATTTTTGAAGAAAAAAACTATTGCCAGCAATATGTTTTTGAAAAAAAAAATATTACCAGCAATAAGTTTTTTAAAAAAAATATTACCAGCAATACGTTTTTGAAAATAATACCAGCTATAAATTTCTGAGGGAAAAAAATATTACCAGAAATAGATTTTTGACAAAACAAAATATTAACACTATGAAAGTGTAAAAATAGGATTTAATACCAGAAATACTTTGTAAAAAAAAATAATTATTTCCAGCAATAAATTTTTGAAGAAAAAAAATATTACCAGCAATACATTTTTGAAAATAAAATATTATCAACAATATTTTTTTTAAATATTACTAGCAATACATTTTTGAAAAAAAATTACCAGCAATACATTTTTGAAGGAAAAATATTACCAGAAATACATTTTTGACAAAACAAAATATTACCAGCAGTAAGAATTTTGTCGGCATTAAAGAACCCATTGAGGTTGATATGCCTTAAAAGAAACCAAACCAAACCAAACCAAAAAACAGTTTTTTACTGAGACATTTTTTCAGTTTCAATTTCAAAATCCTTATATTTACTTATATTGTCATATTACTTAATAGATACATTTTTATTTGATGGCACTGCCATGTCTATAAGAAGGTATTTTTTGTTTATAGTCTTTAATTCCAATATCTGATCTATTAGTTTTTATATATGTCTCAGTGGAAGGTAAAGTTCTCTAAAATAGTGAATTCATAGTCTTCTATGTTTGGTTCACGGTAATGTTGTTCTTCTTTTTCTGATTTCTGCTGTACACTCATTAACTTCCGGGTCCCAACCTGAGATCTAAGGTCAGAAATGGCATCATTACATTTTCATTGAATATTTTTAACATAATTGCACACACATTTTACATTGATAAAGCCCTGCGTAAGGAGTGAGCTGTATTGATGGGAAGATTGTTTTGCATTTCTTTAATCCATGGGATACTAGGAATTCCTTCAATTAGTCTATCAGAAATCTTTCCAAACAAACCAAGAGCTCCAGGAACAACTGGAATTAGTGATTATTATTATTCTTTTTGTTGTTGTTGTTGTTTCTCCTCCTCCTCCCATCGTTAATTTCCGGGATCATTACGCCCTGCCAGTACATCATAAATAATGGACTATTCTGTTTTTATCGCGTGAAAAAGACGCTTTTGTCGGCATTAAATAACCCATTTACTGAGAAAATGAAAGAAAGAAGGAAAGTAAGAAAGAAAGAAAGAAAGAAGAGATCACCGAAGAAAATCATATTAAACTGTTAAGAACAGATACTACACTTTGATCTTAACCAAAAGGCCAAGAAGCGATCATAGTTTTCAGTGTGTCTACCTCGCTATCGAATCTGACACAAGGACGAAGTTTACCGGCAATACCGTGGAAAATTGCACAAGCTACTTCGGCACTTCCCCTTTTGTGAACAGCTCAATCGCCAAGCAATAAACCCAGCCACCTCCCAAAGGAGAGTACTGCTTGGGGATAAGGCACCCTGGGACTTGGGCTTAAATTTTTTTTACCCTACCCGAAAGGGCCGAGAAGTAATGGCGACCGCAATAAAAATACCAATTTTTCAGACGCATAATATCGGACGATCGCCAAAGATCCAGTTACCATAAATAAAATAACATTGATGAATTATTTTAAATTCTTATTAAGAGAAATGTTCGTAAGACGGGTCTTGGCTAGTTATTATTATTGTTTTGACACTGATTGTTTGTTTTACGAGCTACATCCAAGTTTCAACCGGAAGCATCAAGAGACTGCAAATCTACAAATCATGATTATTGGTTCATTTGATTGGATATGAAGCTAACATTCTCAGTATCATTTTTCTGAATTGTATGATGCCGGATGATTGTAAACATTAGTTTAAACTTCCATTGAAACGTATATGTGTAAGCAGGGATAAAATTTATGCAAAGATTAAACGAAGAATCTGATAAACTAGAATATTGTTACGGGTGTAAAATTCAGTAATCTCACAGAGGAAATGATTGCGCTTCTGTCATTAAATGAGAATATGCATGAAAATTCCTGTTGTATAGTGATTTTCTAAGCGTAGCTTAGACACGGCAGCAAGCGGAAGTTATGGGGCACCCAGTGAGGATCGAACTCACTACTTAGTCGTTGTTTGTTCTAGCGATATAAGCTTGCTTAACCATTACACCAGGTGGAGGTACCTTAAATGATTTTCAAAGAGTAGCTTAGACGTGGTACAAGGCCGAAGTTATGGCGGACCCAGTGAGGATCGAAGTCGCTATTTAGTCATTTTTTGTTCTAGCGATACAAATTGCTTAACCATTACACCAGGTCGAGCTACCTAAATGATTTTCTGAGCATAGCTTAGACGTGGCACAAGGCCAAAGTTACGGGGTATTCAGTGAGGATCGAACTCGCTACTTTATCGTTGTTTGTTCTAGCGATATAAGCTCGCTTAACCATTACACCAGGTTTGAGATACATAAATGATTTTTGTTATATCGTGGATAATACGATATAATCAACCAGGTAATCCCGAGTGGAAAGATTACACTAACACAGGAATTAGATAAAACAAATAACAAGGTTTTTATGGTACAGAAAGTACATTGAGTAAGTGTTCGTAAATATAACATATCAGTAAAACGGGAGATACGTAACGGAAATCGTAGTCGTCCTTCATACGCTTCTACTACAATAGTTCGTCACGTCTTTTATTCTCCCAGTCACGTCTCTTCTAGACTGACCGATCACAGTTGGGGTGTGTTAGGTTGTTCGACTATAACAGTTTCTAGCTTAGGTGTGACTGAAACCCGAAAATACGGGCACCCAGTGAGGATCTAACTCACTGTTAAGTCGTGATTAATATTAACGATACAAGTTTGTTACTACTACAATAGTAGTGACTACATCGAAAGTGCCCAAATTCCAGTAGTATTGGTCCATAACATGTCACATTGATAAAACTCTCCTGAGGAAGTGGAAAGTACAATTTGCATTTCCGCCAATTATTATAATTATTCCTGTGCCGCTCATTGACGTAGTCAAATTAAAAAAAATTCTTTTCTTGAGACCTGGTGTCAACAAAACTCTTAAAATCTCAAGAATTTTTGGAGAATTATCAGAGTAAATGTTGGCAGTTTTCAGGCGGTTTACAACATTTGTCTCCATTCCAATTTTCCCTAAGCGCCTTTTCAAATTTCTAGGTGGTGTTCCAAGTGCTCCCATTACTACACGAATTACTTTAACAGATTTGTTTCATAGTTTTCTCAACTCCCAAGCTTGATCTTGATATTTTTCAATCTTCATTTTTGTTGGAGTCCACACTTGTATCGCATTAAAGAGAGCAAATTTGAAAATCGCTACTTTCATTATCTATCAAAATAAGAACGTTTCTTCCTTCTGTAATGACAGAATCTGTCTGGCCCAAGGAATCCCTTATCTTGTGTCTTTCTACCACTGCCTCTGGCTGATATTCATTCCTCTTTCACACTGTTGCCAAATGTACGCCATATTTTCCAATGAATTCTCTTACCAATACAATCATGTTATCGCATATAGTCTTTCTTTGACAAAATGGGACATTCACTGAATATGTGGTTAACTGCTTCATCAACTTGTCCACATTTCCTGTATTTGCTTTCTTCTTGTGATTTGTCTATCTATTCACTTAGACGGCCTGCTCCTGTACTGCAAATATAACTGATATCACTATTATTATTATTAACTTTTCTTTGTCTTTGATTTGTACGAGCTTCTCCCAAGACTTAACCAGAGGCATCAAAAGACAGCGGGTGAGTTGCCATATATTTCGTGTGTATGGGAAGAGCGGGTTATTTCAGAGTTTGTACGGAAGTTTTATACTTAAGAATTGCATAAATTGTTTGTGTATATTATATACAAGTTTAGCGTTCCAAAAACCATTAAAAGGCGATGTGTAAAATATACATTAAATCTTATTTTAAGGACATGGACAGAAATATTGCGTAAGAAGTGTGAGGCGCACATGAGTGTGATTTTTCTGTTTGCTAATTCACTTTCTTTTTTTTTGAAATTGTCAAGAATTCATTTTACATATTTATTTGCATCTTTCGACCTGATTCCCAGTGCTTCAGTGACAACAGGGAGTGTGATTGTTTTGAGATGCCATATTCTGCCAATTTCTACCCAAAGATCTTTGAATTATTATTATTATTATTATTATTATTTTCTTTGATTTCTGGCGTTTACACATTTCTTTCCGGGTCCCGCCCAGGGACCTAAGGTTAGAAATGGCGTCATGACACTTTCCACTGACAAAAAAAAAAAGAATTAAATTACATAGATAAAGCTCTTCGTAAGGTGTGGGCTGTACTTGTCAGAACAATCTTTTGTATCTCCTTGAGGCATGGACTTCCAGGAATCCCTTCAATTAGTCTACT